TTTTCTGTAATGCAATATTTCACATTCCCAGAAGCAATCCTTATTCTTTCTAACAGTTATAATATTCCGTTATATGGATGTACCAAAATTTATATATACCATATATGTAGATATATGGTACGTATTACATGACTCATATTACATGGTTTATTTAATTACTTCCCCATTGATATTTAGTTTATTTTCAGGTTTTCCTTATTCTGGCAATACTGCAATGATATTCTTTTTTTTTTACTTCAGCATATTATGGGGGTACAAACATTAAGGTTATATATATTGCCCTGCCCCTCCCCCAAGGGTTAGAGCTTTAAGTGTATCCATCCCCCAGATGGTGTGCGTAGCACTCATTATGTATGTATATACCCATCCCCTCCTGCACCCTCCCACCTGCCCGATGCCAATAAATGTTATTCCTATATGTCCACTTAGGTGTTGATCAGTGAAACGAATTTGATGTGAGTATATGTGGTGCTTATTTTTCCATTCTTGGGATACTTCACTTAGGATCAAGGCAATTATAGTGTCTAAGGATGAACATTTGATTGATAAAACTGTTAAAGAAATATAAGGAAGTCATTACTATGAAAGTCAGGGTAGTGCTTGCTCAGTGAGAAAGTGGGGATTTTTATTGAGATGAGGCAATTGGATGAGCCCTCAGGGTTGCGTGGCTGAGTTTTATTCTTACCTTAGATAGTGGGTACAAGAATGATTGTCTTCTCATAGTTTAAATTAAGCTATACATTTGTTTTGCATTGTTTTTTTTTTTTTTTTTTTTTGAGACAGAGTCTCGCTTTGTTGCCCAGGCTAGAGTGAGTGCTGTGGTGTCAGCCTAGCTCACAGCAACCTCAATCTCCTGGGCTCAAGTGATCCTACTGCCTCAGCCTCCCAAGTAGCTGGGACTACAGGCATGCGCCACCATGCCCAGCTAATTTTTTCTCTATATATTTTTAGTTGGTCAATTAATTTCTTTCTATTTTTAGTAGAGACGAGGTCTCACTCAGGGTGGTTTTGAACTCCTGACCTCAAGCAATCCGCCTGCCTTGGCCTCCCAGAGTGCTAGGATTACAGGCGTGGGCCACCACGCCCAGTTATATCTGTGTTTTTATATTGCAATAAGAAGATTAACAAAAAAGTGATACCTAACACATAATCTACATAAACAGTTAAAATCATCCTTTCTCCTTTCATCTCCATTCCATATGGTAATATATGTATGAATTTAACTTAATTAAAAAATATTAATGGGATCTGTTCAGAGAGCTCTTATTTGTAAAAAACAGTAACTGACTCTGGTTTTGCCAGGCTGATTTGCTAGGGAAAAAATAGCATCTCATTGTTCACATGTTTTTAACCCTTGTGACTAGTGACAGTCATAACTATATGTTGTCCAATTAGTATTTCCATTTTTCTTTTTGCCTGGGATCTCAGGTATTAAAAGGAAAGGAAAATAGTTAAAGTTACTTTTATTAAGATGTAATTTACAGACAACTTTTCAGAGGTTATTTGCCTTTTAAAAGAAGATTTTGTTAATCTAAAAAAAAGACTAAATGGTGAAATGCAGAGAATACATAATTTTGATATGAGGCAGCTTCTTTTCTGAAAAGGTAATGGCACCTAATCAATGCTGTTCTTTTCCAGGATTTTTTTTTTTTTTGAGACAGAGTCTCACTCTTTTGCCTGGGCTAGAGTGTCGTGGCGTCAGTCTAGCTCATAGCAACCTCCAACTCCTGGACTCAAGTGATCCTCCTGCCTCAGCCTCCCGAGTAGCTGGGACTATAGGCACACGCCACTGTGCCCAGCTAATTTTTTCTATTTTTAGTTGTTTTGGTTAATTTCTTTCTATTTATAGTAGAGATGGGATCTCGCTCTTGCTCAGGCTGGCCTCGAACTCCTGAGCTCAAGCACTCCTCCCACCTCGGCCTCCCAGAGTGCTAGGATTACAGACATGAGCCACCGCGCCTGGCCCAGGATTTTTTTAAAGCTTTATTATCAGTAAAGTGTTTAGCTAGGTGTAACAGAAAACCAAATGTCAGGGTTTTAAGCAAATGTGCTTCCCCTCCTTTCCCACATAATAATAAGTTCAGAAGCAGGTGATCCAGAACTGTTATAGGCAGTATAGGACCAAAACATTTTCTGTCTTTCTGGTCTGCCATCTTCAGCATGTTGGCTTTCCACTCATGTGTTTATTGCCTCATGTTTGCCGGACGACTGCTATAGCTCCAGACATCATATCCTTGTTTAAGGGCAGGAAGAGGGAAGGCCAGTTGTATCTTTACCTTCAATCAGGATAAAAAAGATATCCAAAGGATTTCTGCTTATATCCCATTGGCCTGAACCCTCTCTTATGGCTACCTTTAATAGCAAAGAAGATTGAAGAAGCAAGTATCCTGCCTTTGGCTGGGCATGTGGCTGCCACAATATCACAGTTTTGTTATCAGGGATGAAGGGCAGAATGGATATTTAGTAGATAGTTTATAGTATCTGTCATACTTCTTACTGCTGGTTGAATAATTTACCCTATTATCAGAGGCCAATAGAGATAAAATGAAAAGCAGATATTGAGTTGAAATTGGATGCTTCGGGTGCAGTGCCAGCGATAGCAAAGTTTGTAATTAGCATTGATGTAGGTTCTTTACTCAGCTGTGAAATCTCTTTACCAAAAAGTATATAATACATGGGGTTGGGGATATGGAGGCATTGGAATGGGGAAGAGACAGGTGGTGCTGCTGCTAGATGTGCTGGGAAACTAAATGGAGAGGAAGAGTGAGTAGATGTTAGAGGAGAGAGAAAAGAATCACGTTTATTGAGTTTCTAGGTGCTGGGCTTTATGTTCATAATTCATTTCAACCTTATACAGCTGTGTCAGATAGGAGTTATCCCATTTTGCAGAAGAAAAAGTGGAGTTCCTGGAATGTTAACTAACTTGTCTAAGACCTGCTCACCTAGGAAGTGGTCATGACAGCTAGAAATTGTACTAAGGACTGCCTGACCACTGAGCGTCTGCTTTTTCTACTGTACCGGAATATTCATCATTTAATACAAACTTTCTGCTTTTTTGCCAAATAGATGATCTATTACAGACTATTCATAGTACATCTGGATTAGCTATTATTCTTTTTATTAAGACTATGTTTCACCCATCTGAAAAGATTCCTGATTTGGTAAGTGCGTCTCCTTTTTTAGAATTGTATTTTATCGAGTTAGACATATGTTTTGAAAATATTTTAGAAAATGAGTTATATATTTTTTTGTATACTCTGTATCTCTCCAATAACCCTTATCTCTTATAATAAGAGATAATTAAAAACATTCTGATAAAGCTTAAAAAAAAAAACCAGTCACCTGTAAGTCCATCTCACAAAGATAATCACTATCAACATTTTTGGTGGAACCTTCTAGTTTTTTCTAGTGCTGTTTGTTCAGTTCCATCTCTCATTAGAATCTTAAAAAGATTATTTGTAATATTAAAATTATACAGAGATTCATATATAGATATATACACAGTAATAATTGTCTGATAAATATGTTATTTATTAAGAATAGCTGGCCAGGCGCGGTGGCTCACGCCTGTAATCCTAGCACTCTGGGAGGCCGAGGCGGGTGGATTGCTCTAGGTCAGGAGTTCAAAACCAGCCTGAGCAAGAGTGAGACCCCGTCTCTACCATAAATAGAAAGAAATTAATTGGCCAACTAATATATATAGAAAAAATTAGCCGGGCATGGTGGCACGTGCCTGTAGTCCCAGCTACTTGGGAGGCTGAGGCAGAAGGATTGCTTGAGCCCAGGAGTTTAAGGTTGCTGTGAGCTAGGCTGATGCCACAGCACTCACTCTAGCCTAGGCAACAAAGCAAGACTCTGTCTCAAAAAAAAAAAAAGAATAGCCCAAATCATGTACTTTAGACAGGAAGCATAGCATGCTAGAGTCAGTTGTTCAGTGAATTAATCCATATGGAAAGTATAATTTGATAATTTAGGCCACAATACCTGTATTTGTGACTATTCGGGTTTTTTCCCCCTTGTATTATCTAGACCTTATGTAAAATATATGTGCACTATTTTATGAGATCACACAAAATAATAATTATCATTGGATAAAATTGAAAATGTTTCTTAAATCTTAAAAAAGCGTTAGTTAAACTCGTCCACCTGTAGGTGGCGATGTGTTGTGCACTACCAATGTAAACCAACAGAATGATTCATGTATTTAGATTTAATTTTTTCCTTATAATATTAACATAATAATTTTGATATTTGTGGCTGTTTTGTCATTAGGTTTAGTTATTTTTCCTAGGATGTTTCAGGGGGAAAGAGCTGTTTGGAGTTGTATTTTGAAATGTCTCTGAAAAATTTTAAAAGCTTTGTATATGTATTAGCTCTGTTATATTTTTCCAGGTGAGCAGTTTGCTTCTTCGTTCAGTGGACTGCACCAGCGTTCCTGAGTGGTTTTTAAGCAGCTGCAGAAGCCTTTGTTGTGCTGACATCTCTGGGTCAGCTCTCTTATTCCTGTGTCAGGGAACTCTTGCCATGTTGGACTGGCAGGATGGGAGCCTGGGTCTGAGTGGGGAGGCCCTGCTCTTGGATACTGTACATGTTTTGTTCATCTTGAATTCAGAGTGAGTTTTGATGTTGCTATCTTATATTTTGTTTCACTTGTAAGACATTTAATAGGTGCATCTGAGCCAGCACACTTAGTAATTCAATGTAAAGTGGTGAGGATACATCCTAAATTAGACGTCCAGTGAGCAATCCACTGTGCCACAGAGCCACCTAAAATTAAAAAGTGATATATGTGTAGAAAATGAAGTGGATGTGATAGAGAAGATGGGATGATAAGGGAGAAAGAGAGAGAGAGAGAGAGAGAGAGAGAGAGAGATAGGAATTATTGCTACAGTTTAGCCTGTAATTTCTAAAATTAATTTTTAACATTCATTCTCTATGCTAGCATTTTAAAAAACTATATAAATTTCTTTGTGCATAGTGCTTTAGAATTTATGAAGAACTTCAATATAGGTAATATAATGTGATCCTCACACGTCTGGTAGATAGGATAAGAAATATTTTTTGTTGAATGGGTAAAGCAAAGCTTAGAAAAGTAAATACTTAAGAGCATATTGCTGATAAGAACCTGAGCCAGCAACTGTAATAAGGTTTTCTGATTTAACAAGCTGTATTTTGTGTTTTTTTTGTGTTTTTGCCATAATGACTGAAAGTGATCATGAGCCTAAAATGTCAAACCCTAAATACAGCTTGATAGCAATGAGCATATGGATAAAGGAGGAAGAGTACAATGTTCTAAAATAAATTTTACATATTAGAGCTATAATTTACATACTATATAATTCACATATTTAAAGTTCAGCTTTTTTTATTTGTTCACAGAATTGTGTAACCATCCGCGTAATCAACTTGAGAATATTTTTATTACCGCACAAAAAAACCCTGTTCTCCCTAACCTTCCCTAACCCTGGGCCCTCTGTATGTTTTAAAACACCTGTGAAACCTGATGGTTTCAAATCAAGATAATGAACATATTCATCACCCCCAAAAGTTTCCTTGTGGTCCTTTTGGATTATTTTTTTATAGGCAAAACGATTCATATACAAATTTTAAGTCTGTTTTGGCCTTGTTTGTAATTTTTGTTCTTGTAATAATGATTGAATTTTGTTTTATTCTTTGTACTTCATATTTCTAAAGTTTAAATAATTATGAAATGAAATTTCTTTTATTAGACAGTTTATAATTGGCTCATGGCTCACTTTTCTTCAGGATTAAGGAGTCAACGCTGGAATTGTTTCTGTCTAGAATCTTGGCATCTTGGACTAATTCAGCCATACATGTCCTTAAATCAAGTTCCCCAAGCCTAAAGGACAATCTGAATGGGAATTCAAGCATAGTTGGGAGACTTTTGGAATATGTCTATACCCACTGGGAACATCCACTGGATGCTCTGAGACACCAAACCAAAATCATATTCAAAAATCTTCTACAAATGCACCAGCTCACTATGGAAAGGGCAGAGTTGGTCACTGATCCTTTCTTTTTGGAATTGACTGAGAGTCTTCTGCAGTTGGAGTGGCATATTAAAGGAAAGTACGCATGCCTTAGTTGTTTGGTAGAGTGCATAGGAATTGAACGTATTTTGGCAGTAGATAAAACTATTCCATCTCAAATCTTAGAGGTGATGGGGGACCAGTCATTGGTACCTTATGCAAGTGACCTCTTGGAAACCATGTTTAAAAATCATAAAAGTCATTTGAAATCTCGGACTGTTGGCGGTATTTGGATTGACCAGTGGCATGAGACTTGGGTTTCTCCTCTTCTTCTTATACTGTGTGAAGGAAACCTGGATCAGAAATCTTATGTCATTGATTATTACTTGCCAAAATTATTGAATTACAGCCCTGAAAGCTTAAGGTACATGGTAAAGATTCTTCAGACTTCTATTGATGCTAAAACTGGTAAGAAAAATGATTTTTTTCTTTTAGTAATTTCTAGTTGTAATGCTTAAATGTAGGTACCTAGGTAGATATTCACCATATTCAAATTTAAATATTATAATTTCTTCTTCTTCTTCTTCTTTTTTTTTTTTTTTAAATTGAGACAGGGTCTCGCTTTCTTGCCCAGGCTAGAGTGCAGTGGCGTCATCACAGCTCACTGCAACCACAAACTCCTGGGCTCAAGCAATCCTCCTGTCTCAGCATACAGGCTCATGCTACCACACCTGGCTAATTTTTTCTATTTTTATTTTATAGAGACAGGCTGGTCTTGAACTCCTGGCTTCAAGTGATCTTCCTGCCTGGGCTTCCCAAAGTACCAGGATTACAGGCATGAGCCACTGTGCCCAGCTACTACTACTATAAATAGTAAAGGAAGATAATAATAATAGATATTTCAGTTTGGAATGAATGTTCCTGTATGTAGCTGAATGGAGTTTTTGGCTGAAGTCATTTCTAAATGTTAAGGAGTGATTCCAGTTACAGTGATAAAGTTTCTTTTACTATAGGGTTTTAATTCATTTTTCCAAGTTCTAAATTTGTTACTTTGTTGTCTTACTGGAGTAAAAGTGTGTGTGTTTTATATAGTTTGCTTAATCAAGTGATTGAAACAGTAATTAAAAATTGTGTTATGCCAGATTAAAGACAGGTAAATTGTAACTAGTTTTTTCTCTGGGAAAGAGACAAAATTTAGAGACATGACCTCAAGAACCAGCTGTCTGTAGTCATTTTGAATAGGAGTAAACATCCCATTGAAACTCAGTAACCTTGAAGAAATCATTGCATTCTAGCATAATTCAGTAATGTGTAAAATGATTCTGACTTACCATGTAAGTCTTAAAGTTGTTCCATTCTGTTTAACAAAGCAAGAATATGGTTTCCTACAGTACAATTTAAGAAATATTTTCAACCAAGATAGTTAAAAACTGTCAGTATTTCAGTGCCGTAGCAGGAAAATTTGATTCCTATACACAGAAATAGGCCATTATTTGTAACTTTTAACAGTAATTGTTCTTACCTTTTTGAGAAGCCATCTAAAATTCAGGATTCATGAATCTGCTCTGAAGTAAGATTGTCTTTATTTTTATATCAAGGTGCCCTGTGAACCAGACCTCCTTGTTCCCTTAGTAATGGCCTATGTCCTACCCGCTAAAACCATCAGTTTTTTTGTGATCCTCCTTTTATCTTCTTTACTAGTGAGAAATAGTAACTAATCCAAAATATGCAATGAGGTTCAATGTGTATTTTAAGAGAAATAATAATTTTCAGTTACTGAAATGTTTTTCCTGTTTTTGGCTGGAAGTCATTTCTTGTATTGTTTTTAATATTTATCCACTTGATTTTTTTCTTGATTTATTTCCTGATTCATTTTCTGAGTGTCAAGGAAAAAGTAAAAATAAGAGAATTATACTTGCTTGAAATTATTGACACAAAGACAAATCATTTTAAATAATGATTATTTTAGAATAAGAACTTTAATTTGTTTTAGAATCTATTTTAAAATGTGATTTTTATTTCTTGAAATATAATGTTAATTGAAAATTAACTGAAAATTGAAAATAACTAAAAAATTATAGTAGTCATTGCATAGCACAATACTAGTTTTCTTTGTTATTGTGCTTTCTGGACAAGAGCAATCTTTTCCATCCTTAGGGTATTGTAATAGCAGGGGGGCCCTGGGAGCTTTGATGGCATGTCTGCGAATAGCTAGAGCTCATGGACATCTTCAGTCTGCAACTGATACCTGGGAGAACCTTGTCTCTAGTGCAAGAATAAAGCAAGGCTTAATTCATCAGCACTGCCAAGTAAGTAAACGAAATAACCGGGAATTTGTACATGCAACAGATCCCTGATTAGTTCATTCATTTAGCAGTTCGATATAGAGGCCCCTGTGTTGTGCCCAGCATTGTTTTAAAGAGTCCATAAAAGGATGAATAAAAAGTGAAAAGTCTAGGCTGGGCGTGGTGGCTCACGCCTGTAATCCTAGCACTCTGGGAGGCCGAGGAGGGAGGATCACTCAAGGTCAGGAGTTTGAAACCAGCCTGAGCAAGAGTGAGACCCCCGTCTCTACTAAAAATAGAAAGAAATTAATTGACCAACTAAAAATATATATGTAAAATTAGCCAGGCATGGTGGCATATGCCTGTAGTCCCAGCTACTCAGGAGGCTGAGGCAGGAAGATTGCTTGAGCCCAGGGGCATGAGGTTGCTGTGAGCTAGGCTGACACCACGGCACTCTAGTCCGGGCAACAGAGTGAGACTCTGACTCAAAAAAAAAAAGTGAAAAGTCTAGACCTTTGTACTCAGGCTTTGTACTCAGTTTAGTAGAGAGATAAGAAAACTTGTCTAAAACAGCTGGGCACTCTTAGAACTGAAAGTACAGATACAAGTGTGTTTGTGTGCCCTTACGTAATAGGAGTTGTTTGGGAGGTTCAGGAGAGGCTGATCAGAGTAGATGGTGGTTGATTAGGAAAGTGATAAATGTGATTAGAGGAGGGGAAGAATTGAAACAGCACACGAAATGGAAGGGCACAAATGAACAAGGTCTGGAGGATGATTAAGGACATTGCTTATCAGGAGTGGAATGTTCTGTCCATTTGATGGAAGGTTCTTGTGCTAGTCTGAAGACTTCATTGGTTTCTTGTAACCAGTTAATTTCATTCAATTGAACCAGAGCCACCCTCTCTTCGGCAAGGAAATGACATTAGTAGAAACAGATGAGTTTCCAGAGTGGGAGCAAAAAGAAAAAGAAACCGGGAAACCAGTTAGAAGTGCATGGCAGTAATTTAAGAGTGAGGTGATAAGATGAAGTCGGCACTGAGAAAAAAGAGAAAGGAATGAAGTTGAGCATTACCATGGAATAGCAATCATTAAGATTGTTGAATTTTATAAATTCTCAATTTATGCATTTAATAAAATAATTTTATAGGAAATAACTACAGCATCTTTGGGATTAGGAAACCTTTCTGAGGTATATATGGGTGAACTGAAGTTTACTTTCTTTTCTTATGGTAGCCTATATAAATACTTAAACATTTCAAGTGGTTTAGGCTTTGCTTTTTCATTGCAAAATTAACATTTTATTACTTGATTTATTTTAGGTACGGTTAGATACATTAGGTTTGCTTTGTGAAAGTAATCGAAGCACAGAAATCGTTACCACAGAAGAAATGCAGTGGATTCAGTTTTTCATCACATACAACCTTAACAGCCAGTCTCCAGGAGTACGGCAGCAGATTTGTTCTCTTCTTAAGAAGGTAGACTTTCCCATCAGAAAGTATAGGGAAATGGTGAACTTTACTCTGGAAGTAGTTTTTTTAAAAAGCCCAGATTTTATGGAGGTGTGGGAATGGTCATGGAATTGTGCTATCACATCTTTCCTTGGCCCTTCTGTGACCTGTTCTTTCATTCCATAAAGCTTACCTTTGGGATTAAATCCAAAGTGAAAAGTCTTTGCATTTTGGTGTAGTAAATCAACCTTGAGTTCTTTTTTGGAAGAAAAAAAACCTAGAGCTAGAATTCTTCAGATTTAAGGTGGTTTTAAGAAAACTTTGGTAACAGGAGGAAGGATGTCCTTGCATTTTTATAGTTTAAGTAGCTTATAAAATGGTCATTATTTAATAATTCATCTTGAATTAATCATACAACACATTTATGGAGTGAAGAATTGGTATAGAAATGAGTATATCATCTTTAGTTTCGTGCCGACTTAGGGGAAATAGGAGATCTGTGGTTTAATGACTGTATTCTGGTTTGCAATAATACTTTGTCTTTGGTTTTAAAACTATAAATGTTAATTTTCTATCAAAAAGAAACTCTATAAATATTAAGAGTTTAAAAACCTGTATTCTCCTTGCCTGTAATTTTATTCTAAAGAATTTTGCCTTTCAGACTGACATTTAAATTTAACGTGTGGCTGACATATGCTTTGTTTTTCTTTGTCTCAAAAGTTGTTTTGTAGGATACAGGAAAGTTCTCAGGTACTTTATAAATTGGAGCAAAGCAAATCCAAACATGAACCAAAGAATGAGTTAACCAAACAGTACCCTTCTGTTTCTTTACAGCAATATAAGGTAGGTGATATATTTCTAGCCATACAGATTTTTGAAAAACTTAAAACAATTATGAATAAGCATTGAAGGGGAAAAAATGGAAGTCTCTTGGTGAATTGTGTTTCTGTGCTTTTTTACTTCAAGCTGGGTGTTATATATTCCTTCTGGTGCTGTGGTATTCCACTCGAGGTAGCCTGAGTTATGGAATGAGTGCTGCACTTGAGGACTGTTAAAGAATGATATTCATGGGCAAACCTCAACAACTTGTAGTTTATGTGTGCCAGATGAATTTAGTACTTTAACAAAAAGGTAATTGTCAGACCTGAGCTCTTTCACCCATCCCTAGGGCAGAAGACTCTGCTGTAGTCGTGACTACTTTCTCTTTAGACTGACATGACTTAAAGTGGCTTGATGTTAGTGACTCTTGGCCCATGGTCCAGCTGTGGAGGGAGGCACCCGTCTATTTCACTTTGGAGTAAGCTTGAAGAGTAGGGTTGGGTTTCAGAGCACTGTGTTAATGGGATGGATGGAACCCCAGGTATAATGGTTCTACTCTGGACCAGGCCTCAGCCTGACATTCTTTCAGTTTCTTTTTAGCAGAACAAATTGAGCTTTTTACTGGTTACTTCCCCCAAAACTAGCCTTTGAAAAGCAGACCCTTTTTTCCTCCTAAAGCCCAGATAGAAGCCAGAGCTCATCTATTTATTTAGAAACAAGTATGATAGATTAATGGTACATTCGAAATGTGACATGCTCACTATCTGCTCTGAACATTATTACGGATGCCCTTAGTTTTCAATTCTTATTAATATTTGAAAGGTAAAAAACCATCTAACAAAGAATATTCCTATACAAAGGCTGAAATCAGCTTCATCTTTTAAAAATCCCAACAATGAAGATTGTAAAATCACAACCTGAACTTTAAGCGCATAGGTTTAGTTCTGATTCTGCCACTTACTATTTGGCTAACGTGTCTCCTCAACTATAAGTGAGATTAGTAACCTTTCTTTCTTTCTTTTTTTTTTTTAAGACAGAGTCTCACTCTGTTGCCCAGGCTAGAGTGAATGCCGTGGCATCAGCCTGTCTCACAGCAACCTCAATCTCCTGGGCTCAAGTGATCCTTATCCTTCTGCCTCAGCCTCCCGAGTAGCTGGGAATACAGGCATGTGCCACCATGCCCAGCTAATTTTTTGTATATATATTTTTAATTGGTCAATTAATTTCTTTCTATTTTTAGTAGAGACAGGGTCTCGCTCAGCCTGTTTTCAAACTCCTGACCTCTAGCAATCCGCCCGCCTCGGCCTCCCAGAGTGCTAGGATTACAGGCGTGAGCCACTACTCCCGGCCTAGTAACCTTTCTTAAAAGGTTGGTTTTGAGGATTAAATGAGAAAGCTCTTTGTAAACTATAAGTCACTCTAAAAAGCATTGCTGGGAGTCATTAAAAGTGACTAGAATATATATTGGGCCCCTACTGTGTGTGTGGGACAATTATTTTTTAGCCTCTCTTAGATCATTGCTAGATTTAAAACACATCTTGTTTGCTTCTTTATTCAAGAGGTAAAAGGACATTTGTGAAAACTCAATTAGCTACTTCAAAACAAAAAGTCTACTTTGTGGATTGAGATTCTGAAATTTCATGTATGCACGGTTTCTTGGTTTGTGCTTATCAATATGTATATTTTAAAAATTAATTCTTAGAGTCTTAATCTGAGTTGGTCTTGTGGTTGTGATATTTTCTCGTGGCTGGTAGTCAGTCACCTATGGCTTTTAGAGGTTGTGATCCTGGCATTTTATTATCATCATCATCATAACAGTGGGTACCATGCATAGTGTGTGTTAGGCTCAGTGCCAATCAGCAGTCTAAGGGCTGGGAGAGAGGAGGCCATTAGTTGAAAAAGATGTCTTCTAGTCTAGTGGAGATTATTTTGCACCTAAATGACTAATATTAATGACTAGAATACTTTTAAATTTATAAGATGCTTTATGTTCATATTCTCATTTAATTTTAATAAAAAGACTGAGATAAACATTATTATCCCTGCTTAACAAATGAGAAAACTGAAGCTTTGTAAAATTCAATAACACACCCAAGGTCCCTCAGCTAGTAAATGGTAGAGCCAGAACTCAAATCCAGATCCATTCTGAATTCAAAATCTCACTAGTTTTTTCCTTAGTGCTAGCTTAAGTCAAGGCTTGGGAGTAAGAAAGTACAGGGAGAACTTGGGGAATTGATGAATTCACTGGTGTGAATGATATATGATACTTCAGGGAATGGAGTTGAGTAATGGGAAATGAGTCTAGAGAATCAAGTTCAGAATGGATAATAGAGTTGTCAATGCAAGGCCAAGGTAATTGGGAGCCTCACTGGGAGCCATTAAAAGTGACTGGAATATATACTGAGTACCTACTATATGTGTGGGATATTGTGCTTAGCACTAGGAATCCAAACATGAATTTGGTCCCTGCCTCCATTATGGTTACAGTCTGATTGTGGGAAGAAGGAACTATTAATATATCTAAGCATATAAATGACAATACAGTTAGGATAAGATCATTCTTAAAGGATGGGGTCATATGTTTTAATGTCTTATTTACTTAAAACTAGCTTAACTAGGACATTTTTCAGTAATTGTCTTATTTCTTTGAAACCCAACAGAATTAATAAACCAACAAAACTCTCAGGGCTTGTGGAGGCCTAAGGATAAATCAACCAAAGGTTGCATATCCTTCATCTGAGAAATGAATGTAGGGATCTTGTGTAGTCATTTGGGACTAGAGCGGAGCAATAACAGGATGCTTGAGAATTACAGCTTTTCCTTACAATTTTTCTCTTCTTTGTTTTACATAGAAATTACCTTCCTGTTTTTAGTTAGAGGAAGATGACTTTATCCTGGACAAAGTATTTCCCACTTTGGTTTTTTAAAAAATTGCATTTTTTTTTTAATCACTATAATTTTTTTTTATTTCGGCATATTATAGGGGTACAGATTTTAAAGTTTCAGTAAATGTCCTTCCCCCACTCCCCCCACAAGTCTGAGTCTCCAGCATGACCATCCCTCAGATGGTGCACCTATCACTCGTTATGTATGTATATACCTGCCCCCCCTCCCTCCCTCCCCAATACTCTATTACTGTAGTACCTATGTGTCCACTTAGGTGCTACTCAGTTAATACCAGTTTGCTGGAGAATATATCTGGTGCTTGTTTTTCCATTCTTGGGATACTTCACTTAGTAATATGGGTTCCAGCTCTAACCAGGAAAATATAAGATGTGCTATATCACCATTGTTTCTTAGAGCTGAATAGTACTCCATGGTATACATATACCACTCTACAAAAAAGACATCTGCACTCGAATGTTCATAGCAGCACAATTCATAATCGCAAGGCTGTGGAAACAGCCCAAGTGCCCATCAATTCAAGAATGGATTAATAAAAAATTGCATTTTATTAAGAGTTTTCATTTTTTATCATTTGTTTAAACAGCATGGTAGAATAGGAGATTCAAAGGGGCAGGTAAAAAATGGAAAAGGGGCAAATAGAAGACAATGGAATAGTTGGATCTTTGTATGAATTATGTCATGATAGCCAGTCTTACCAAGTAGTCTATATTAGATATTTCTCTGATGTTTTAAAACTTTAAAAGTATACATAACTGTCTGGGCTTCAGTAGGAATTATATTTCTTGTTGACTCTACAGAGATAGGGTTCATCAAAATCATGATATAGCTTATGATTAAGGGCGCCAGGCTGAATTATCACCAAAGTGAGTGAGTATTGTTTTTAAAAATCTTTATAAAGAATAAACAAAAACACCCAACCTCCTCTTTAAGGTGATACTTTGAAGATAACCTACTGTGACTCAATTATACTTAGTGTAATTTTTTTTTTCAGAATTTTATGACATCCATTTGCAATAGTCTTTTTGAAGTATTGTTTCCGGGATCTTCCTACTCAACAAGATTTTCAGCGTTAACTATTTTAGTCTCCATAGCTGAAGTTTTTCCGGTCTTAGAAGGTAAGTTTTTAATAATATTTGAGGAAATTATTTCTTTTCCTTCAAGACACATACTTTTTTTTACATTTTGGTGTATTTAAAGTTTCAGTTTTGTTGTCTTTTGTTTAGATTCTTATGGGAGGTTTTATTCTTAGCATATAATTCTTATTTGTATATAATTAAATTTGCCAGTAAAGGACAGAAGGCAAAGAAACTGTCTCCCTTTTCATTGACCATTATTTGGCAACCCCAAACTACGATTTTCATGGATTTTGCCTACTATGGAAAGAGTTTCTACTCTTACCTCCCTAATTGTTGCTGTTGTAAGATAGTGCCCAATCTGTTTTTTAAGTTTTAAAAATTGAAATAATAATAGTTTCTCTTATGTTTAATATCCCTCAGTGAGTCTTTGTGGTTAAAATGTGGTTTCCCTTATATGCTGTTTGTTTCATAAGCTTCATATTTTCATTTAATGATACCATTTGTTTTTCCTTCTGTGGGTTACTCAAGAGGATGAACTTTAACTTCCCTCTTTGAATTGTTTTTTTTTTTTCCTTTTTGACAAGAAATGATTCTTTTTTTTATCTCTATACATGAGTATATGTGTGTTTTAATGTGGGATTTCTTGCTTGTGTGTAGTCTTCCATGACTGTGGTCAAATAGGAAAATAGCCTGCTCAGCTGCTCTTTCATAGGGAATGGCCAAAGGACCAGGGAGCTTTACATTATTATTGGATTCTTTCTTATTTTACATTATTGGGCAAGATAAAAGTTTTTGGCAGGAGGGGGGGACAGTATGTTGATGTTAATACAGGCTTGCTTCATTTGAGGAAAATCAGTTTTTCAAGTTTATATTTTGAAAATATTCAAATGAACAGCATCATTTCAAGAATAGGTCAATGAATAGTTATGTACCGTCTCCCTGGATTCATCAGTTATTAATATTTTGCCATATTTGCTTTATCTCTGTCTTTTATTAATTTTGTAACCATAACACAATACTCAAATTTAGGAAATTTAATGTTGATACAATGCTTTTATATAATATACAATCCATATTTAAATTTTGCCAGTTGTCCCAACAAATGGCCTTTTATTTTACAGAAAAAAAAAAATTTCCCATGAGATGGGAAGCAAGCCTAGATTCCACATTGCCTTTCATTATTATGCCTCTCTTTAGTTTTTTTCAATCTGGAAAGTTTTTTATTTCATGGCATTAACATTTTGGAAGAATGTGTCTCAGTAGGGGTTTATCTCATTGTTTCTTGATGATTTGATTCAGATTTTGCATTTTTGCAGGAGTATTGCATAATTGGTGTTCTCAGGGCATCATGTCAGAGGGTACATGATGTTGGCTTATCCCATTATTCATGGTGATAAATTTGATCACTTTATTTAGTTGGGTGTGGTAGGCCAAAAACTGGCCTCCAAAACATCCACATCAAATCCTTAGAACCTGTGAATGGAAAAAGGGTCTTGGCAGATATGATTTAACTAAGGATCTTGAGACGGGATGATTCTGGATTATCTTGATGGGCCATAAATGCCATCACAGGTATCCTTATAAAAGAGTTGTAGAGAGAGATTTGACATGCAAAAGGAAAGGAGGCAGCATGACAGTGGAGTAGAGATTAGAGTGATAGAGCTACCAGCCTCGAAATGCTAGCAGCCTCCAGAAGCTGGAAGAGGCAAGGAATGGATTCTCCTTTAGAGCCACCCAGGTTAGCTTGGCCCTACTGACACCTTGATTTTGGACTTCTGGCTTCCAGAACTGAGAGAGAATAGATTTCTGTGGTTTTAAGCCATCAAATCTGTGATAATTTGTTACGGAATTCATAGAAAATGAACACAGGGTATCCATCAGTTAAGGAAATTTCAGTTTAACTTCATAGTGCTTCAGCTTAACTTAGAAAATAAGTTTTTACCTAAGAGTAATGGATTACTTAACCAAGTTTTCTGCACATTTAAGGTACTTAGAGCTGCACCTAAGTGTGTGGGAAATAACACTGGGATGAATTATACCTAGAACTTTTTAGTCAAGAGAACAATTTAATATTAAATAGTGTACTTTAAAAATGAAAAACCTCAGTCATCTTCCTAATGAATGAGTCACATATAATTGTGCAGTGACTGATGCCATAGTAATTATGTTAACTAAACACCTGAGAAGTAATGCAAATGGAGCAAGCCCTACTATACTCCTTTACCTTTAAAGGAGGCTAAAGAGCTATGAGCTATGACCATGCATGCAATACCAGATGGAGCATGTAAATTCATTATTCATCTCAAGAACTTTAACGTGGGAATTTTATATTTTACAGAAAGTCTGTAATTTGGGTTTAATCAAATGATTTTTGCCTTTCCTCAAGTATATCCTAGACTCAGAAGAGTATGTCTTATGTATCTTTCTATAGTGGAATCAAATGTCACAATATTCGTGGTGAAAAATTAGATTTTACAATTAGATTAAAAGAGTTTGTTCAACCACTATTAATTTAGTGCTTATTGAATGTCAAACAGCCACGGTTATGCAGTGTCCCAAACAAAGTATCCCCTCTTTTGGAGCTTACGTTTTACCAAAGGGAAACATAATAATTAACAAGTAATACACAGAATTTCAGTTGTAGATAAGTTCTATGAAAAAATATTTCAAGAAGATAAGGGGGAGATATAGAGGGCCTGGGAGGATGGGGGAGTGTTAAATGTTTTATACAGTGGTGTCAGAAAATGCTTCAGATTTGAACAAAGTTCTTAAACAACCAATGGGTCAAAGTAGAAATCATGAAGAAGTTAGAAAATACTTTGAGGTAAATGAAAACAAAAATACAACATAGCAAAACTTACGCAATGCAGTGAAAGCAGTGCTCTTAGGGGAATTTATAGCTGTAAATGCCTACAATAAAAGATCTCAAACCAATGACCTAACTTTATAAGCAATTAGAAGAGAAGAGCAAACAACCCAAAGCTAGCAAAAGGAGGGAGATAATAAGATTAGAACAGAGATAAATGAAATAGAGAGTAGAAAAACAATAGAGAGAATCAACAAAACCAGAAGTTGGTTTTTTAAAAAGATCAACAAAATTGACAAAGTTTGCTAGACTGATTAAGAAAAAAGAAAGAAGATGTAAATAACTAAAATAAGAAATGAAAGTAGGGACATTGCTATTAACCTTGCAGAAATAAAAATGATTATAAGACAATTTATTGAACAATTGTATGCCAACAGATTAGATAACTACGTGAAATGGCCAAGTTGCTAGAAATGTGAAAATTACTGACTCAAGAAGAAATAGAAAATCTGAACAGATTCTATAATAGGTCAAGAGATTGAATCAGTAATCAAAAACCTCCCGGCAAAGAAAAGTTCATAGCAAATGTCTTCACTCATGAATTCTACCAAAATTTTAAAAAAGAATTAACACCAATCTTTCTCAAACTATTTTCAAAAATTGGAGAGGAGGGAACACCTCCTAACTCATTCTATAAGGTCATCACTAAGAAAAAAAAACAAAACTATAGACCAGTTTCCCTTATGAATATAAAAGCAAAAATCCTCAACAATATACTAGCAAACCAAATCCAACAGCATATTAAAAATACTATACACCATGACTAAGTGGAATTTATCCCAGGAATGCAAGGGTGGGTCAACATAAGAATAATAATATAATATACCACATGAAAATGAAAGGAAAAAAACCTCCTGATCATCTCAATTGTTGCAGGAAAAGCATTTGACAAAATTCAACACCCTTTTATGATTAAAAAAAAAACCAAAACAAAAACAGCAAACTAGGAATAAGAAGGAATTTCCTAAACATGATGAAGGACATTTTGACAAACCCACAGCTAACACCATACTCAATGGTGAAAGACTGAAAGCTTTTTCCCCTAAGATCAGGAAAAAGGCCTGGATGTCCACTGTCACCATTGCTATTCACCATTTTACTGAATGTTCTAGTCACAGCTATTATGCAAGAAAAAAATTAAAAACTTTAAAATTAGAAAAGAAGAAGCAGATTTGAGCAGAGGTGTGAAGGAAGTAACAAAAACTCCAGTTGCTTGCTTCAGGAATTTCACAGGGTTGTGCTAACTAGTAAGTTAAGATGAAAAGAGAAACTCATATTCTAATTTATATTGAACATCATTCTTCAAATTAAGTAAGCATAGGAATATTTTCAGTTCTTCTCGGGTTCATTTTTTAAATATTAAATGTTTTTTACATTCTGTTATGAAACCAATATTCCCACAGTTTAGTTTTAATCCAAGAGTTAAGAGGCATCGTTCTTTTTTTTTTTTTTAATTGAGATAGGGCTCTTGCCCTGTTTGCTGGGCTAGAGTGCAATGGTATTGTCATAACTAACTGCAACCTCAAATTCCTAGGCTCAAGCCATCCTCCTGCCTCAGCCTCCCAAGTTGCTGGGACTTTACGAGTGTGCCACCACGCCCAGCTAATTTTTCTATTTTTTGTAGAGGCAGTGTCTCTCTGTGTTGCCCTGGCTAGTCTCAAACTCCTGGCCTCAAAAATCCTCCTACCTCAGCCTTCCAAAGTGCTAGGATTATAGGTGTGAGCTACCATGTCCTCCTGCCATCCTTCTTTTGTGATAATTTTTCTGTTCATTTCCTGGTTGGCAGAAATTCCTCTTTTTCTGAGAAGAGTTTTTGGAGATATAAGTAGTTCTTAATTTCTTACATATTCAAAAATGTTTTCATTGCTCTTACACTTGAATAGAAGTTTGGTATACAGACTTCTTCACACCTTCTTTCCCTGAGGATTTGTAAGCATTCCTCCATTGTCTTCTAGCCCTACATACTGATATGGGTAAGAGTGAAGTCAGTCAATTTTTTTTCATTTTTTAGATGACTTGAGCCTTTTCCCTGAATAACCTTCTTTATCTTTGACACCCAGTCAGTCTATTAGGATATGTCATCATGATGATAATTCTGTGTCAGTCATTCTAAGATATGGTAGAACTTTGGATTCTAGATCAAGAAATTTTATGAAAAATTTTAAAAAGATGTGTCCCTAAATTTATTTTTGTTTATTCCCCCCCCCCCAGGAATATTGTGTTGAGATTTGTTTATTTTTAAAAATAACTTAGGAATCTTTTATATATTTTGAAAGAGAATAGAATGGTTTTTAAAATTAAAAATTTTTGTTTGGTGTATACTACTTATTTTATCATTTTAAGAAATAAATTAATGTAGAGAAAAATCAGGCTTTTTAAAAAAAAAATAAAAAAAAAAAGAAATAAATTAATGGAAAAGTTATTCTTTTATACTGTTGTGGTTAAAGTATGAAGTGTGATTTTTTTTTGAAACTAATTTTCTGTAAATTTAGTCAAATAACTTCAGAAGGTTGATATCTGATATACTCTTCCTTTTTAAATTTAAATCTTTTATTTTATTTATTTTTCTAGGTAGTGTTTATACAGTGTATCAGCTGAGTCATGATATTGATGTTGGCCGTTTCCAAACACTAATGGAATGTTTTACTAGCACTTTTGAAGAAGTGAAAATTTTAGCATTTGATCTTCTGATGAAGTTGTCAAAAACTGCTGTACAATTTCAGGTATTTGGATTTTTCCTATGTAAATTTAAATATAATGTGTGCATAAAAACTTCCTATTTTAATAATAGATAAAGCAATCTGAGGATTATCCAGGATCTTTGTGTTTGCCTTATGTCTTTGGACTATTTCAGTTATCATTAATACCTCTCTACTGTTTGGGGTTGGCAGGAAAGGAGAAAATAAAAGAAAACAAGGCTGAAACCGGTTTAGTGAGCTTTTCTTTTTTTTTTAATTGCATTGTTAAAAAGGGAGGAGTAGGAGGCTGTAGGTTTTGCTACTTACAAGATTATTGGTAGATTTCAGTTAATTGTGGTCACCCTAGTTCCCTTGGGCATGTAATATTCTATCAAAGCCCATCACTTACAGTAACTTGTGTTTTTTGAGATAATCTCCCTGCTTTGTAGACTGGGAAGCTGAGTGTACATGAGGTGCAGAACATGTTTCTGGTTTTCCAACTAGCAATAGCTAAACTGAGACTGAAACTCAGAGAACTTGAGGTTAACAGTCCCTTGGTGCTGTACCCCATCCCCAGCCCCCGCTTTCTTCTTGACACATTGTGTGCTTCCCAGCTTGGGGTAGGAACCAAAGGTGGGCTTGGGAGTGAAGGCATAGTGTGGGGATGGGTCTGTAGGGGACCTCTAAGCCCAGGTCTCAGCTCGGCCCTTGAGGCTTCTGGGGCCGTTGGGTCACCATCAGAGTACTGGCTCTGAAGCTTGGCTTTCTGTTGGACCTCTACAAAAGCCAAGGGCACCTGCTGTAGCTGAGCCATGGTTGAGCTCTGGCAGTTAGGCTACATGACAGCTTGTAGATACAGTGGGATTCTATAGGAGCACATACCAGAGAGCAGTGTCTATTTCTATGGCTTGTAGATAGTTTTGTAAGATCTCTGAGCACCTTTTCTGACTTGGATCCAGATTGGGAGTTGCTCTCTGGCATCTGCCTATGCCTGTAGTCTTTCAGGTGCCCTGGTGAGCAGAAGGTTCTTTGGTGCTCAGGCTGCTAACTTATGTGCCATATAGAGTTTTTACAGAAGAGGCTTTCTCTTCCTTTATCTACCCTCCCCTCACTTACCATTCATCGCACGTAGCCTTGTATCATATATACATAGCTATGCTTCATTCCTAGCAAATATTTTGAGAGTACATGGATGCTCTTTATATGATAATGTTTACATTAGCATTATTTATTTAGGTCTGTATAGAAATAATGAAGATAGTATGTCTGTATTCATCAAAAAATTTCTACAGGACAAAATACTTTTGCTGAAGAAAGGCACCTTAAAAAAAGATTTATCAATGTTGAATTTGCTGGTTGAAATTATTTTCAAGGCCTTAATCTCTGAACTGATTCATAGTAATCATTAATTAATATAATAAAAAACTAACCTATATTTAAGTTTAAAGGAGATTAATGTTCATACTGAGTTATAGTTATATGGCAGGCTGTGTTTTAAAATATTTATTATCGGCCATTGTCACGCCCGCCTCGCCAGCAAGGAAGACGCGGCAACTGGAGTTCTTCTGACAGTGCTTTAATGGGGTTCCCTTTAGACTTACATGATGCGGAAGACCCAGCCCGGCAGCGCGCAGGCTGCTATAAACCCCAGAAGCACAACCCCTAAGCTGGGATAGGCCGCTCAGCTGTCGAGCCACCAAAGCATTAGTCCATAGCAGGACCCTTCGTTTGCATTCTCGCGCCACAGGGCAACCGACAATTGCGCGTGCGCTGAACTTGTTTGCTGCTCTAGGCAAAGCCGGAAACAGGCGCCAACTTGTAATGGCGTTGACACCGCACCCCACAGGCCATGGGCACTGGCTCATGCTTGTAAGCATAGTCCTTTGGGAGGCTGAGGCAGGAGGATCACTTGAGGCCAGGAGTTTGCGACCAGCCTGAGCAACATAGTGAGACCTTGTTTCTACAGAAAATACTAAAATTAACTGGGCATGGCGGTGTGGACCTTGTAGTCCCAGCTCCTCAAGAGGTGGAGACAGGAGGATCGCTTGAAGAGTTTGAGGTTGTACTGAGCTATGAGGATGCCACTACACCCTAGCCTAGGCAACAGAGCAAGATCTTGTCTCAAAAAAATAAAAATTAAAAAAAAACTCTACAAAATAAAATAATTATTATTTCTTCAAATTAAAGAAATCTTTCAGTAACTGAGTCTGTGCTTTATTCCAGGATTCAGAAAAACTGCAGAGCTTATTCCAGGCAGCACTGGAGCTTAGCACAAGCACCAAACCACACGACTGTGTAACAGCTTCCTACCTGCTGAACTTCTTAATCTGGCAGGATGCTCTGCCGTCATCCCTCTCTGCCCACTTAATTCAACAAGTTGCATGTGGTCATGGAGATAAATCTGCTGCTGTGGTGGAGACAAACACATTAATGGGTTTGTACTGAGTAAATGACCTTTTGCTCTTATTTATCAAAACCAATATCTTATTCTCTCACTATTCATTTGGTTAGTATATCTAATAGTTAAACATTTACCTTGTGGTTTTTTTCAATTTAAGAGTTAAACAGCATATGAGAGCACCATGAGTTCTTTTTATGAAAATGAATAGTTTACTCAGCTATAACACTTTTTTTTTTTCTGAGCAGAGTCTTACTCTGTTGCTCAGCTAGAGTGCTGTGGTGTCAGCCTAGCTCACAGCAACCTCAAAACTCCTGGGCTCAGGTGATTTGTCCTGCCTCAGCCTCCCAAGTAGCTGGGACTACAGGCATGTACCACCAGCTAATTTCTTTCTATTTTTAGTAGAGACGGGGTCTCGCTCTTGCTCAGGTGGTCAATTAAACTCTTGAGCTCAAGTTATCCTCCCTCCTTGGCCTCCCAGAGTGTTAGGATTACAGACATGAGCCACCATGCCTGGCCTACCACTTAATTCTAAAGAGAGGATTCATGTTAAATAAATAGATATACAAACATACATTAATAAAGTTCTTTATAAAAGACAATGACCTCTTTGTTTACCAAGAGTGTACTTTTTTCTCTGTAGAAATTTTATTATGACTGTAGACAGATTATCTTTATTATTTCTGTATAGAGCAGAGTTCCTTTGTCTGTTGGGATTTTTGTTATAATTGGCTGTCATCCCTGCCTGTTATTTTTTCCATGTAGCCAATTCTAAAACCTAGGGTCTCAGATGGTTTAGATCTAGTGACTTCAACAAACAACGCTTGGGGACTCATGTACTTAATTTTAGGCTAGTAAATCTTCATTTTGGAATTGTTTTAGAAATAAGGACAGATATGGATTTTTATAGGATAAAAAAGAGATCAGATATAGAAGGAGTTGAAAATGATTCTTTCCAAGATTGTAGAAGAAGCCATGAAAAAGAACCAATAATGGGAGAAAAGTAGATGGCCGTGGGCAGTTCTGGTGAGAATGTGGTCATAGCTCTGGGGATAGTGAGGTGACGTATGGAAGATGATGTTTGCCCACTTGAATTACTTAAGGGCTGGGTTCAAAAGGAGACCCTGTTAAGACAATAGGAGGAGGACTGCAATTGAGGTGAACTAGGGAGTACATGTGTCACATAAAGGCTTTCAATTCAAGACATTTTAGAACTTTATGAAATATTTCTAAACATACAAAGAATATTTAAATATATAAGGTTTAAATGTAGTAATATAAAACTACACAAGTTTATTTATTTAGATTTTAAATGCTTAAAATGTTTTTTGTCCTTTTTAACGTTTAAGTACAAAGTCTGAGCTGTCCCAGTACCCCAAAAACTACACAAGTTTAGTTCACAAGCTAAGTGATAACACTAACTTTAAGTAGCACAATACCACCCATATCTTTGAAGCCCCTCTTTTATCTTAACACTGTATTTTATATTAATCTGTCATTTTGTTTTTCTTTATAGTTTTATCACCTGTCTATATATCATTAAACAATATATTAGTTAGTTTTACATGATTTTGAATTTTATCTTAATAGTACTTACTGCCTGTATTATACATATTGGCCACAATTCATTCATTCTCCTGTTGTTGGACTTTTTTTCCTAAATAAATAGTGCTGATATAAACATTATCATATAGAGAGCATCTAAAATTCAAAATGCTCCAAAGTCTGAAACTAATGTGAATGTCTAAGAAAGATCTCTTTTTGATTGAAAATCTCTAGTGTAAAATTCATTTGAGTTGGGTGTTTTCATGGAAACTGTTGTGCTGTTCACACACGTATAAATGTTTTAGAATTGGCATTTGGTTTTGTGTTTGCTTTTTCTAGTTATCAAATGCTTGATGGAAAATCTTGAGGAAGAAGTATCTCAGGCTGAAAATTCTCTACTTCAGGCAGCAGCATCATTTCCAATGTATGGGCGGGTCCACTGTATAACAGGAGCTTTGCAGAAGTTATCTCTGAAGTAAGTATGTCCACAGCTGTCTCTTGTCTCAGAAATATACCTCTTACTGGACTGTATCCTAGGAAAGGAATGTAGTCTGCTGCCTTGAAGAGAATTGAAAATTAGATTAATCCTATACACCAATAATGGCCAAGCCAAGACTCAGATCAAGAATTCAAAACCAGGCCAGGCATAGTGGCTCACACCTGTAATCCTAGCACTGTGGGAGAATGAGTTCAAGACCACCCTGAGCTACATGATGAGACCCTGTCTTTATAAAAACTAAAAAAATTAGATGCACATTGTGGCACACACCTGTAGTCCCAGCTACTCAGGAGGCTGAGGCAGGAGTATTGTTTGAGCCCCGGAGTTTGAGGTTGCATTGAGCTATGATGATGCCACTCTACTGCAGCCTAGGTGACAGAGCGAGACCCTGTTTCCAAAACAACAACAACAACAAAAACAGCTCAATCCCATTTGTAATAGCTGCACAAAATAGAATACCTAGGAATAAATTTAACCAAGGAGGTGAAAGATCTCTGTAGGGAGAACTGCAAATCACTGATGAAAAATTATACATTACACAAATGGAAAAACTTCTCATACTCATGAATCAGGAGAATCAATATTGTTAAAATGACCATACTGCCCAAAGCAATCTACAGATGCATTGTAATTCTTGCCAAAATACCAATGTCATTTTTCACAGAATTAGAAAAAACATTTCTAAAGTTCACATGGAACCAAAAAGGATCCTGTATAGCCAAAGCAATCCTAATCAAGAAACAAAACTAGAGGCATCACATTACCTGACTTCAAATTGTACTACAAGGCTATAGTAACCAAAACAGCATGGAACTGACATAAAAGTAGACACATAGACCAATGGAGAACCTGAAAATAAAACCAGACACCTACAACCAGTTGTTCTTTGACAGAGCAGACAAAGACACACTGGGAAAAGGACACACTGTTCAATAAATGGTGCTGGGAAAATTGGGTAGCCATATGCAGAAGAATGAAACTGGATCCCTGTCTCTCATCATATACAAAAATTAACTCAAGATGGATTAAAGATTTAAGTATAAGACCTGAAACCATAAAAATCCTAGAAGAAAACCAAGCTCTTCTGGACATTGGCCTAGGCAAAGAATTTATGACTAAGACCTTAAAAGCAAATGGAATAAAAATAAAAATAGATAAATGGGACTTAATTAAACCAAACACTTCTGTACAACAGAAGAAATAATCACAAGAGTAAATAAATAGCCTACAGAGTGGGAGAAAATATTTGTAAACTGTGTGTCTGACAAAGGATTAGTATCTAGAATCTGCAGGGAGCTCAGACAACTCAGCAAGAAAAACTCAACCCTATTGAAAAGTAGGCAAATGACACAAACAGGCATTTTTCAAAAGAAGATATACAAATGGGCAATAAACATATGAAAAAATGCTAATGTCACAAATCATCAGAGAAATGTAAATTAAAAGTACAACGAGATACCATTTACTCCAGTTAGAATGGCCATTATTAAAAAGTCTAAAAGCAGTAGATGTTGGTGTGGATGCAGTAAAAAGGGGACACTTATATACTGCTGATGGAAATGTAAGTTACTACTACACCTTCTATGGAGATCCGTATGGCGATTTCTTGAAGAAGTAAAAGTAGTACCATTCGATCCTGCAAACCCAGTACTGGGTATTTACCTAGAGGAAAAGAAATCATTACATCAAAAATACAGCTACATTTTTATGTTTATCATAGCACAATTCACAATCTCAAAGATACAGAATTAGCCTAAGTGCCCATCAACTGATGAGTGGATAAAGAAAATGTGTTGTGTATGTATACAATGGAATACTCCTCAGCAATAAGAAGAAATGAAGTCATGCTTTTTGCAGCAGCTTAGATGGAACTGGAGGCCATTATCCTTAGTAACTCAGGAACAGAAAAATAAATGCTGCATATTCTCACTTATAAGTGGGAACTAAACTATGGCTACACAATTGGAGACTCAAAAGCAGGGAGGGTGGGAAAAGGTAAGGGATGAAAAATTACCTGTAGGGTACAATGTACATATTCTGGGTGAAGCCTAGACTTCATCACTAAGCAGTGTATATATGTAACAGAATTTAACTTGTACCTCCTAAATCTATTAAAACTTTTTAAAAAGGAAAAAGATTAGATTAAGAAATCTGCATATATGTGCATATTTTTATGTCTCCTATATTTTATATATAATGTACAACTTTGAAAAAAATTCTTTCAACTCCTTTTATCTATTAATTTCCATTGTTAAAATGTGATTTTGCTTTTAGTATGAATTTCCCTAATATCCTTGTTGCAGCAGCCTGCAGTTGGTGAGTGAGTGGAGACCTGTGGTGGAGAAGCTCCTTTTGATGTCCTACAGACTTTCTGCTGTGGTATCTCCAGTCATTCAGAGTTCATCCCCTGAAGGCCTCATCCCAATGGACACTGATTCAGGTCAGCAAACACTGCCTTTTTAGTAATATATCTAACTATTAAAAAATAGCCCCCCCCCCCAAATCCCCAAGGCAGGTGATGAACAAGGTACCTCCTCCCCCAGAGTAAATTAAGTTTTATAATACTGTACGGAGGTTGACATTCCAGATCTAAAAATTTGAAAGCATAAGCACTTCTGGTCCTAAGCATTTTGCATAAGGGATATTCAACTACTAACATGGACTGTTCCTTTGAACGCACAGAAAATCATGAACCAAATTTACATTTGGTGTTGAAATAAAGTTTGTAAGTGCATTTTGGAGCACAAATGAGAGGTGTATATTAAAAGCACACTGAGTATATCATAAACACACACTGTTACTATACACTTAAAGACCTTGGGCTAGTAATAAAGGTAACGTGGAGATGTGGTTATTTTGTGTTTACATAGAAAATGTTAGGTTTTGTTTTTTTACTAAAAATGTGTTAGAAGATTGGTGATGGCTTATGATACTAAGAGAGTTATTTATTTGTTTATACTGATGTTAGTTTTTCTTCTTAAACAGTGAATGAGAGTAAGGAACATGCAGTCTTATAGCTAATGTTTGAATCATGCAAGTATTAGTATATTCTAGATGAGAAATCTTTCTTTTTTTTTTTTTTTAATAGAGGTCTTGCTCTGTTGCCCTGGCTAGAGTGTAGTGGTGTCATCATCGTAGCTCACTGCAACCTCCAGCTTCTGGGCTCAAGCGATTCTCCTGCCTCAGCCTCCCAAGTAGCTGGGAGATATGCACATGCCACCATGCCTCACTCATGTTTTCCATTTTTAGTAGAGACAGGGGTCTTGCACTTGCTCAGACTGGTCTTGAACTCCTGACCTCAAGCAATTCTCCTGCTTCCACTTCCCAGAGTGCTAGGGTTACAGGTGTGAGCCACTGCACCCAGCCTAAGAAATCTTAAATATTTCTGTCACCTCTTGTGGGTAGATCCTGCAGAGCATGTTAACATTCTTTTGGTATTAAAGAGTTTTAAAATATCAGTTGGTCTCAAAAACTCTCTTTGGCTCACAGACTTTTCCTTAATTCTGCTTCTTCTTTGCCTCTGGTGGCCTTCATTTTTCTTGCTTTTTCCCCATGTTCTTTGCCATGCATTCTCAATTTTGTGAAAACAGCCTCCTCTAGAAGCCATAAAATGAATGGATAGGATTCTTAAAATTTTATTCTCTGATCTTTTCTCTTTTTTTCTTGGTCTTTGCATAATTTCCTTTTGGGCCATTGTTACTGTTTCGAGGTTGTTGAAATATGTTTTTGGCATAATTCAGGGAAGCAACAAATGAACATAAGACGTTGGTTGAATTTTCATGATAGTATTAAATAATTTGAGGCTTTGTATTTCCCATAGTATTAATACTTAAAATGTAACCATAAATAATAGGTGAATAGTAGTAGATACCTGATCTTTGATTTGTTAATTGATTTCAGATTATTCGCTTGTTGCTAATTTTTAAAAATATGAGCGTGGCTAACTTCTTATTACCTAGCTATCCATTCATTCCTTCAACCCATGTTACTGAACCTTTGCCATGAGCCAATTTCTGTTATAGGCACTGGTAACTGAGCAGTGAACAAAGTGTTGCCTTCGTGGAGCTTACATCTTCTAATCCAGTGAGTGCTTAGAAAATAAAAGTGAAGTTTTTTGTAATACTAGGACTGTAAATTATATGGTGGCATGCCCCTGTCATCCCAGCTACTTGAGAGTCCAAGGTAGGAGGATTGTTTGAGCCCAGAGTTTGAGTCCACATAGCAACATAGCAAGACCCTATTTCTACAAAAAGCAAGCCATATATTATATAATGTATTCTGAAGCTAAATATGGATTCTTCATGAATTCCTGTGCTGTAAAAGATTGTATTTGTTATTGATGAGTTTTTTTTTTTTTGGTCTTTTTATCTTTAAGCCTTAATAATCTTATATTGTGTAGATAGGGATCCAACTTCTTAAAACAAAATTTATTGAAGCATATTGCACTTCTTTGACATGATTGAGCACCATATTTGGGATTCTTAGACAACACTCTTTTAAGAAAAGCAACATAAATGAGATGGCAGCCTTTATCCTATGGACAGTTTCAGTTGGTTTTTTTTTTGGGGGGGGTCATATCTTCAATCTAAATTGCCATATTTTAAAAGTACACTCAAGCATCATAAAGACCCTGTACAAATGGTTTTCACATTATCCACCCTGTGAGTCCCTTCTAATAGAGCTAATTATCAAGTATTGAAAATTACACAGTTTTTGAGAGCAAATAACCCCAAGGGAAATCTGCATGTTATGTGGAACTGGGATTTCATGTACTCTGATTTCTTTCTCTTAGAGTCAGCAAGCCGTTTACAGATGATCCTGAATGAGATTCAGCCACGAGATACTAACGATTACTTCAGCCAAGCCAAAATATTGAAAGAATGTGATAGCTTTGATTTGAAGGACTTGAATTTCACTGTGTCGAAAATTGATACTTCTGCAGAAATCAAAGGTAACATATGTCTAAAATTGATATTATCGTCAGTGTTTAAGTAACAAGTAAAATGTACAGAATGCCTATCATATAGTAAATTAGAGGCTGCAGATCTGTGCGGAACATTTCTAGAAAATAAAGTTTTATTAAAATTTGGTTTAGGGAATGATTTGGTTTTAGAAATGAATTTATAAGACTTTTACCAGAAAAAGCTGGGTGCTGTGGCTCATGGTTGTAATCCTCTCACTCTGGGAGGCCAAGGAAGGAGGATCACTTGAGGTCAGTAGTTCAAGGCTGCAGTGAGCTATGATCATGCTACTGCATCAAGCCAGTGCAGCATATAAGGTGCTACAACAAATATCCTTTGAATGCTAAAACCTGCCTTGACGCCCAGGTGATAGAAGAGCAGTAATACACGATAAACCTGGGTTTGGGCAGCAGTCAACTTCTTTTAGCAGCATGGCTCGTTGTCTGCTGTGGGAGTTCTTGAAGTCAAGCTGCTTTTTTTTTTTTTTTTTTTTTGAGACAGTGTCTCGCTTGTTGCCCAGGCTAGTGTGAGTGCCGTGGCGTCAGCCTAGCTCACAGCAACCTCAAACTCCTGGCTCAAGCAATCCTGCTGCCTCAGCCTCCCAAGTAGCTGGGACTACAGGCATGCGCCACCATGCCCGGCTAATTTTATATATATATTAGTTGGCCAATTAATTTATTTCTATTTATAGTAGAGACGGGGTCTCGCTCTTGCTCAGGCTGGTTTCGAACTCCTGACCTTGAGCAATCCGCCCGCCTCAGCCTCCCAGAGTGCTAGGATTACAGGCGTGAGCCACCGCGCCCGGCTCAAGCTGCTTTTTAAAGTAAGCAAACCGTATTGCTCAGTAAAATGAGACCTGCTTTGTTATACCAAACTTCCAGAATTTCATTTCTTACAGTTTGTTTTATGATTAGTTGTTATTGAATTTTTTGCAATGCTGTAATAAGTCATCAGAAGCAGTAATTTCTTAGTGATTTAGTACATATTCTGCATTCTTCCACTAGATGGAGATGTTGTCTCATGAAAAGTTCTCTTTGTGCTTATGTATTTTTTAAATTAAACAAAATAACATATAAATATATATCTATTGTAGTAGTTTAGAGGTAAATATGAATTAAAAAAAAATTAAAGTCTTCTTCTGTTTCCTCCCCAATTCCATATTTTCTCTCTTCAGTGTACAGTATATTTTTCATACCCATGCTGTGTATTTATGTGTATATATACTTATCCTTTTAGTTTAGTGGGCTTTTTAAAAATACAAATGGGATTATACTATAAATATCATTTTGTCAACTTGCCTTTTCAATGTAATAGTTTATCTTGGATTTTTTTTTATGTCAGTACTAACATACTCCTAAAACTAGAATAAGAGAATAAGGGTAAGAATATCTTACTAACCATGGGATATAAAGATAATTTTAAAGAAAATTTGTATTTTCCTTTGATTTTAAAAGTTTGTCCTAATCCTTTACTGATACAACAGCCATTCTCACCAAAATTAAAAAGAAGTATATTTGTTATAGTCATCTGTATAATACTTTATGGATGACAAAAAGGCAGAGTGTGTTTCTGATTTTCAAAGTTTAGACTTAAGTTTTGAAACAATATTGTTTTATTTTTAAATTTATTTTAAAAATAATAAATTTTAAAAAATTCTTAGCATATCCTAGCACTCTGGGAGGCTGAGGTGGGCGGATCGCTCAAGGTCAGGAGTTTGAAACTAGCCTGAGCAAGAGCGAGACCGTGTCTCTACTAAAATAGAAAGAAATTAATTGGCCAACTAAAAATAAATAAAAAAAAATTAGCCGGGCATGGTGGCGCATGCCTGTAGTCCCAGCTACTTGGGAGGCTGAGGGAGGAGGATTGCCTGAGCCTGGGAGTTTGAGGTTGCTGTGAGCTAGACTAATGCCACAGCACTTTAACCTGGGCAACACAGTGAGACTCTGTCTCAAAAAAAAAAAAAAAATTCTTAGCATGATTCCTCTTAACACATGCTTGATAAATATTGGCTTCTTTCTCCTGAATAAATGTAACATATGACAAATTGGTTTGTTCTTGGGGAAATTATGAATAAGCTTGTTCTAAGAAACCTGGGATGTGAGTAATCAAGAGTGTCTAGTGTTGTAACAGATTTTTTTTTTTAAGGTAAAGAAGGAAAAACATGTGATGTAACTGCTCAGATGGTGCTGGTATGTTGTTGGAGAAGTATGAAGGAAGTTGCTTTACTTTTAGGCACACTGTGCCAGCTTCTACCCATGAAGTCTGTGCCAGAATCTTCTGATGGATTATTAACAGTGGAGCAGGTAAGGTAGATGTTTATTCTACCAGGTATAATATCTAGTCAATGCATAAATCACAACTTTTATTTATAACCCAACTTAAAAAAAGTTTTAAATTTTTCTTGAATACTACAAATGCCAGCTGAAGAAAGTTTGTGGTAATTTAGAGTGTTAGACTTTGCAATACATTTCAAAACTGGCGTTTTTGTAATAGAAATATTTTTATTTTTCTAAGGTATATAAATAATAGATTTACCTTACCTTACTTTTAAGTGGTATTACTTTAATTTTAATTTTTTCATTTAACATACATAAACTTAAATTTTAGCTGAACTTGTCTATTTAGTAAAACTCCACAAATCTCTTACATTTTATAAAGGAAAAGAGGTAACATAGTGGTTGATTATGGATCTCATGTTTCCTACTACATTGATAATAAAGTTGTAGTCACTTTGGTTTTTTTGGCTGACTTTTATTTTAAGACCACAAAGTTAGTTCACCATCTGGGACTGTTCAAGTGACTTGAGTGCAGTGTTTATAAGAAATTAGCTTACCACAGGCATTTCATTTGGAAATATTTTAGATTTATTAGATTTCTGTTTTTAATTGATTCCCTCTTCCTTTCCATATGGTTTCAACAAATCCATTTCCCACCGTTTTCCAGCAAAGATATATAATGTGTACTTTCATTTTTAACCTTCTTCAAATAAAGATAACTTTTTCCCTAGGGTGTTACAATATTTAAGAACAAAACAAATATTGTAGTATGCTAATGCTGATGATTTCTGTAATAACCACATGACTAGTTCCATGGAAATAATGCTAATTTTTTTTTCTCACACTCTGTGGCTCATGTGCTTGCATCTGGTTAACAGCTGGGCTTATGATGTTGCAAGGCCCTGAGATGAAGAAAAGCAAAGGCTAACAGTACACTTCAGGCTTCATTATGTTTCTTATTCTCTTCCAAATCAAATAGGCGTTAGTATCCTAAAGTTACTTGCAGTCATTGCTGGTCACTAGCCATAGTGCCAATGCCAACATCTTTGCTGAGGAATCCAGCTATGATTAATGATTACTTCACTGATGTTCACCATCTTGCTAAGAAGTAAACATGTGCTAAAGTCCTTTGACTTCTCAACTTCTCTTTCCAAGGACAAGTTAAAACATTTAGTTTTTTGGGTTTGTTGGATAGTGTTTAAAAAACAAATAAAAGGGAACATATTTTGCTTTTACTGTAACTGAGAAAGACCTAAAAGCTTCCTGTGAAAATCATTTTGCCTTGATACCATTTATACAGCACCCAAATCTTATGAATTTAATTTAATTTATGTGGGATAACTGTATTAAAATAGGGAATTATGTTAGATAAGAGATGTTTATAAAACAAACAATGGTAATAACAAAAAGATAGGCTTTTATAAACCAAAGAATTCTTCTAGTGACTTATTTGCTTGAATAAAAAGTAGAATCCTCTGGACATTTCCCTGATTAAAAAAAAAAGAAAGAAAAGAAAGAATTCTGACCATCTTTTCTGTAAAACATTAGTTTCCATTCTAATGATGTCTAGTCATTTTTCCATGTTACCATTCATGTGGTTACCTCCCATGCATAGATGTAAGAAGAAACTAATGACTGAGAGATGAAGAATATATGTGATAGCAGTGTTCTAACACTGAAACCTTGGCCTCTGTGGAAAACATTATTCTTGGTCTTGCTGACTCTGACTAAAAAAATATCACAGTTTAGTAGCATTTATCCAATGCATACCCACAGTCATCAAAAAATTAGTGTTATTTACATTACTAGAATATGCCTGCTTTTAAATGTAAAATTTTACTCCATGAAATTCCTTTAAATTAAAAATACTTAAAACTTTTAAGAGTTAAAAATATAAATGACAGAGAAAAATGTCATTTACATTGTACTGATTGGGCCACACCTGAGATGTACCTTTTCTTCCAAGGGCATAGTTGCCCTGGCAAAGCTAAGTTTGCTGTGCTTAGTGGCAAAACTACAGTTTTAAGAGTCAACATTTTAGGTGACTGTGACAGCCATAGACCTGGAGACACAGAGGCAGTGAAGTGACTTGCTGGTAGAATGCTATACCCTAGTGATGGAGGAAAATGTGGAACTTAGATTTCTTGTTCCCCAAAATAATAACTGTGAATCTACTTTTTTCTTAATGGATGAAGAAAGCTATTTCATGTAGCTTAAAATACTGATATTTAGCCTGTTACTTTTGTCCAATCCCCCTTCACTCTTGAAAAAGTAATAGAGTTCTATTATAATTTGAAATTTGGTGGCTCGAATGTAGAAGACAGGGAATATTTCTTTTGTAGCTCAGTTCCTTGAATACTATCCTGATTTTACAGCCCTTTATTTAAAGGGGTGGTCACTTAAATCCCACCTATATGAGTATAATCTATAGCAGGTAGTGAGATTACAGTTTGGGGATTTTTGTTGCTGTATAAGAACTGGTACTTCTTTGTAATTCTGAGTTTTCAGTGCTATATTCTCAAGTGATTAGAGCTGGAAATATCATAGAGATGATATTATCCAGCTTCCTTGAATAAGAGGAAGCTGAAGCCCTTGGATGTCACCTGGTTTGCCCAAGATCACAAAGGTGGTTTGTGGCAGCTCTGGGACAGGAACCCGATTCTTCTCCTTCCCAGCCTGTGTTCTGACATGGCACAGTGCTGCCTTTGTTCTAAACTGCTCATTTAATTTTTCTATAAATTTAATTTTCCCTATTTCCAGTACTCAGGAAAAGTTTTGCAAGCAACAGGACAGTAAGATGACTTGCTACTGAACTTTTTAGCAAATGATTCATTTCCCTTGATCACTTCTTGTGAAGCACTGTACTCTCACCAGTTTCTCCAAGAGGAGAATATGTTCATTCAGAGGCACATCTGACTTTGCTCCTGCACTGTAGTCACATAATGAAAGGTTCTTTCATAATGTCCCTGTACAAGAGGCAGAGATAAAACCAGCTTTGAGGGATGTAAGTGGAGACCCTTCAAGAGTGAGCAGCGCACACAACCTTATCTCGCAACTTCCTGACTAGTTGGTGTGTGTTGAAGTTTCAAGCTTGATGTTTTGCTGATGTAGAGCTTTTGCTTGTTACATTTTTTGGTCATCTTTCCATGGGATATCTGATACCCAGTGCCTACTGATTTTTTAAAACAACTTCCTCTACCTGGAGTGCTATATCAACTTATGTTTATATATTTCCCCCAACATTCCTAAAAAGTAACTTCTGGGTAGATTTTTCATACCCACTTTCCCCCTTCTAGTAATTATTGCCATAGAAATGACTTGAATAAAAATAATTTCCAACTGTTAGAAATTTGCTATTTTTTAAACTCCTACTTTAGATTCTGTTGTAACTTTCATGATGTACAGGGCTCACTGTGTTGATTCATTCCCTCTGTCTTTTGTTGCTGTTTTAGATTTTCTGTAATGGACTACAAATGGGATATATATTTATTAAAATTCATAAGTCTTAAATTTCCTTTTGTATTTTATTTTGCTAAGTTTATTTTTTAGAAATTATGAATAGCATTGAATTGTGCTGGATGCAAGTTACCATTTTTAAGGTTTGAAATGAAGTTGAACATATAACTACATCATTTAGTCACCTACTTATTGACCGTCTTACTACAAGGATATTGTGGAAACATAAAGCAGTATATAATATGTGCTTCTCTGACTTCAAAGGGTTTAGAAATATAATAGGGGATACAAGACAGAAATTCATTTTTTTAAAAGTGAGACTAAAGAACAACAGTTAAAATGGCTCATGGTTGAGAATTTGCTAGAAAGCAAAGAATAAACATTCTGGTAAGATGATGTCTGAATATCAGAAAGTATTACTTTTGTTGTTATGTAGGAGAATGATGTTTGTGCTTTGAAGAAATCCCAAGTGTGTTAGTAAGAAATCCACCATGGTGGACAGTGGACAGTTTAAAACATTATTTTACTGAAGTGGAAACTTTTGTACAACATCACATTTAAACAAAGTGAAATTAGAAGTAACTGTATCTTAGAGTCAGAATTTAAATTAAATCTTAGAGATTAAGTCTTACTACTTTATAGTAGTGAGAAAATAAAAATAAATAAATAAAAATAAAAATGGACCTTTACTGAATTCTACTTTGTGCCAGGCACTCTGCTAAACACTGAAATGTATAATCTCTTCTATTTCTCACAATAATCCTGTGAAATTCTGTCTAGTTATAGCTCCATTTTATAGGTGAAGGAACTGTGTTGTTTAATTACCTTGTGTTAGTAATACGTTTTAAAAATTTACCTTATGTAGATGAAAGGTAAATTGAAATGTATTTACATCCATCTTTTGTGGATTTTATGCTCTGGATGAGCATTGTTCCCTTAATTACTCTGTTGATGAATATAGATGCTTGGAGACATGGCATGTAGCTGTCCTCACAGGAAATTTGTACCTGTGAATCCATAAAACATGTTAATTTCCTTATAGAGTTAGATTTTATGAAAAGTTAGAAGCAGGATATACTAGTTTTAAAAAGACAATAAATAGAATTTGATTTTAAGAACAGAAATCAGTGTCTTGTTTTTTCATTTTTACCTTAATTTCCTTTAAAAAATACCAAGATGTATATTGCTTATTAAAAATTATTTTGGGCCGGGCGCGGTGGCTCACGCCTGTAATCCTAGCTCTTGGAGAGCCGAGGGGGCGGATTGCTCAAGGTCAGGAGTTCAAACACAGCCTGAGCAAGAGCGAGACCCGTCTCTACTATAATAGAAAGAAATTAATTGGCCAATCGATATATATATAAAAAATTAGCCGGCATGGTGGCGCATGCCTGTAGTCCAGCTACTCGGAGGCTGAGGCAGAAGGATCACTCGAGCCAGGAGTTTGAGGTTGCTGTGAGCTAGGCTGACGCCATGGCACTCACTCTAGCCTGGACACAAAAGTGAGACTCTGTCTCAAAAAAAAAAAAAAAAAATTATTTTGGGCCGGGCGCGGTGGCTCACGCCTGTAATCC